TCCGTCTCCTGGGTTCAAGCAATTCTCCTGCCTCAGCCTCCCGAGTAGCTGGGACTACAGGCACATGCCACCATGCCCAGCTAATTTTTGTATTTTTAGTAAAGACGGGGTTTCACCATGTTGACCAGGATGGTCTCGATCTCTTGACCTCGTGATCCACCCGCCTCGGCCTCCCAAAGTGCTGGGATTACAGGCTTGAGCCAAAAAATCTTAATTGAACTGAGCAGGCATCTTTTGCAAGAGCAATATGCTACAGTGCCATCTAGTGGCAATAAGTATAAATCACATGACCCATAATTTCTGGGTTTGTAAAGATCTTTTATAATGTTTTATTTATACCACTGAAAATATTTGAAACAATACTTGTCTATGTAAGCATGACTTATTTTCATCATTTTTTTCAATGTAGGGTATAATACTAATGAAGCCTAAGAAATGCAGAAATGTTTCTAGTTGGCAACTCTTCCCTGCAATTTGTAACTTTCCCATGATGGCAGCTCCATTTTGGGAATTGGGAAAGAGACCTCTCTGTGGACCTGCAAACCTGTTAGACAAATCCTTGTGGCTATCGTTTGTATTAGCCATGACTTTAATTTTCTGTATTCTGATGCCATAGCTTCTTGGGCCTTGACCCTGGGGGTCTGCGTAAGGTTTGCCTACGAATTCACGTAGGTTACAACTTTCCTTGTGGCTGACCTGGGCATTAAGCAGAGTTTTCTAGTCTCTCTCTCTCTCTCTTTTTTTTTTTTTTCGGACTAGGTAGCTCTTAATATATCCTGAATTTATCAAAGAGTCTCTTGGCCTCACAGAGCTTTAAAACCTGGCTTCTAATTTCTAGTTCCATTATCCTGAGCCAATACTCTCAAGCTGATACACAGATAGGCTGAAGAGCTTTGCTCCAACTTTCAGTTCTCTCTTCATTCTGGAGAGTGTGCCTTCTTTCTTTCAAGCTTAGTTATGTACAAAATATTGTCATGTTTCATCCAGGATCACATGTCTACCGTGGGAAGGGAGTGACTCAACTAACCTCAGTCTGCTATATTATTATAATCAAAGTGACTAATTTTTAACCTTCCTTTCTTTGTCTTCAAACTGTAAACAAGCTCATATATCTTTCCTCTTTAAGAAAATCTAAATAATATTTTGTGTTTTTCTCTATAGGTAAATTTCTGTCTCTTTCTTCTATTTTCCAGCCAAAAGTTAAAAAAGTGTAGACTACATTTGCCTCTACTTGTAAACTTCTAATTTATTTTGTAAATCCCCTGCAGTCTGGCTTCTGTTCTCACCGTTTCATAGAAACCACTCTTCCCTGAGGAACAATAAGGAAGCTGCTCCCCTGCCTTTGAGTGAGTGAGGTGACGTTTAATAGTAGAAATGTAACAGAGGCAGAAAATCAAACAGAACTTTGTAATTCACTGTGAGGGCTTGGCTTTTACTCAGTGATAAGGATTTTGAGCTTAGGAGCAAGGTGCTTTGACTTTGTTTTCAATGCTTTACTCTTGCTGCTATATGGATGCATGAGTGGAAACAGAGAGAGCAACAAAAAGGCAACTGTAATAATCCAGGTCAGTGATGATGGCCTGGGCCAGCGTAATGGTCCGTATTGACAGATAGAACCAACAGGCTTTGCTAATGGATTTAATGTAGGGTATAAGAGAGAGGGAGGAGTCAGGGAGATTCCAAAGTTTTGGCCAGATCAACAAGAAGGATGGAGTTGCTATCACTTAAAATAGGGAAGGCTACTGGTGGAGCAGGTTTTGAGGGGAAGATCAAAAGTTCAGTTTTGGACAGGTTACGTTGGATATATCTATCCAACATCTAAGTGGAAAAGTGATATGTGTATTTAACATCTCAGTGGATGTGTGAGTCTGGGGTTCAGGAACTGTATGTGTTTACGTTTTTACGTTTTATAGACCACTCTGCATTTAGATTTGAGCCATGGCAATAGGTTCTGGATAAGGGATGTGGGTGGAACCACCTCTAGTTGTGAGCCTTTACAACATCCCATACAATCCTCCAGTCTTTTTCCCACGCACGGCGGCAAACGTGGAGGGACCATGTCCAGATGATGTTGCTCCATGTATCAGACTATGACATGGAGAGCTAGGCACTGGGATTTTAGGGTTTATTTGTTACTGCAGCATAGCCTAAGCATACTTGATGGATACAAGGGGAGATGGTCAGGCTGTAGATGCAGTGTTGGGGTACATCAATTTATTGAGACATCTAGGCCCATGCGACTGGATGATGACATTCAAAGAGAAAGCTAAAATGCAGAAAAGAAAAGAAATCCCTGAGCCTTGGGGCATCCCAACACTAAGAGGCCAGGGTGGGAGGGAGATGGGGGTGGGGAGGGAGGGAGGGAAGGAGGGGGGTAAGGGGTAGGGATGGAGGGAGGAGGGCCAAGCTTCTAAGAGGAGGGAGCCTTTGTCGTGTGAGTGACAAAAGAGGTAATTACATATGGGTGATGCTGAAAAAAGCAAACATATTTTTGTTTAGAAGTGTGTCCAGTGCCACGCCGCAGAAAAGGGAGGCAAGCATAAGACTGGGCCCAGTCTCCATGGTCTCTGTGGGTGGAATACAGATGAGGTGTCTGGATCCTCTTCCACAGACACCAGTGAGAACAAAGGCGTCATCTATGGAGAGGAGACATGGATGGAGCAATTGGAGAGTCCCAAGAAGTACATCCCTGGAAAAAAATGATCTCCACTGGTGCTAAAAAGAAGGCAGAAAGAATTGGCCACGGCCTTATTTACTCACAAGCCAGACTTATCTCATGACTTCATGTGTACTGCAGTGTAACTGCTTCCATACACCAGAATTCAGCTCACAAATGACTGGCAGAATAGGACAGCCCTGATAAGTAAGACTGGCTTCTGGTTAAAGGAACATGATCAGTTTTTTGAATTTTGACAGTAATTTGGACTCAGTAAATGCTATCCCTGTTTCCCCTTCTAAGGATATGATTGGACCTGATGAGTCATGTTCAATTTTTCACAAAGAGGAGAATGACATTCCCAAACCTATTGGAGACTGATTTGTAGTTTGATGTGTATGACTAAAGTTATATGAATATATTTTAGTATGAATATATTTTAATACTGGAGAAATCCTTGCACCGTGTCAGAACTGAGCAAGACTCACCTGTTTTTTAATTTGTGTTCATTTGCCCGTGAAAGACAAGGGCTTAAGGTCGCATTGTTTATGTTTTCGTCTTAACTCTGCTAACCTAATTAGAATTCCCTGTATCTAAAATGCTGCCTTTTACTTATTAAAAGGCATTTTAATGGTTTATGTGTAATATCAAATAAAAACACTTCTCACATTTATAGATGACACTTGTCACCTTTTAAGAGTCATTGTGACAAGAAATAGTTGCAAGTTAAACTGCTTTCAAGCTCTTTACTAAGTCAGACTAAGTTTTAACTAGGATTGTCTTTAAACAGCTATTCTCTTTTATGTGTGATTGGCAATGGGGCTTTGCCAACTTATTAGAAGGATTAAAGTAGAGATATATACAAAATTATAAGTTATAGGTGATCATAAGACTTAAGAAAATTAAAAACAAAATCCCAGATCATGAAAAAGAAAAAAGAAATCAGAGAGGAAATAAGAAATTAGGGGGGTGCTACCAGCAAAGAAGCAGGAAAATGGGAGAATGAGCTATCCTGGAAGCCAGATGAAGAACATATTTCAAGTAGGAGCAAATGCCTAACTGTGTCAATTCTTGTTAATGAGATCAAGGAAGGTGGGACCTGAGCATTGACCACTGGTTTAGCTGAATAGACGTCACTGATCATTTTGGCTGGCAGTGCAATGGAGTGGTGAGCACAAATGCCAGACTGAGGGCGATCTGGGAGAGGATGGAAAAAGAGCTGATGACAGTGACCACAGAAGCTGAAGGGCTAGTAGGGTAAAGACATGGTTTTGTTCGTTTTTTTTGTGACTGTGTTTGTTGAATTTGTTTTGCTTTATGTTTTGGTGGGAGAAAGACCTGTATATTTGTATGATGAGTCAGCAGAGAGGGAAAAGTTGATGATGCAGGAGAAAGAGGAAGAGAATTTCAGGAGTAGTGTTCTTGATTAGGAAAGCCAGTGGGGACCTAGCTTACAAACGGAGGGACAGGCCTGAGACAGACACCCAGACCGCTCATCTGTAGTAACAGGAGGGCAGACAGAGCTCCTGGAACATTTTCTTGAAGATGGACAGATATGGTGGTGGAAGTTTGTGGAGGATCCCTTCTAACTGATGTCACCTCTGAGTCATTCATCTTCCTGCTTCTCTTTCCCTTACCACCCACATCTATCCATTATCCATCCCTGCCTATTATAATCACTAATTTTCTTTCTTTTTTAAAAAAAATTTAAGTTCTGGGATACATGTGCAGAACGTGCAGGTTTGTCACATGGGAATACGTGTGCTGCCTCCATCAACCTGCCATCTACGTTAGGTATTTCTCCTAATGCTATCCCTCCCTTTGCCCTCACCCCCCGAGAGGCCCCGGTTTATAGAATCACTGATTTTCTTATACAGGATTCTTCTTTGTCCTTGTTGCTATTTCAGTCGTCTGTTTTCGCTTCTTAGTGATGCAGGTGAACCCTAAACTTGGGGTTCCGCTTGGGAGGGTTCTTGGCTTTGCTCAGGAAATAATTCAAAAGTGAGCTGATAGTAAAAGCAAGCAAGCTTATTAGAGCAAAGTGTACAGCAAAACGGCTGCTCTGTAGATGGAGCAGGGCTATCCTATAGGCAGAGGAGCACTCATAGATTGCTGGCTAGCTATAATCTATACTCCTAAATATATGCTAAATAAGGGGACGGCTATTCAGGAATTTTCTAGTAAAGGGGCAGGGACTTCCTGGAACCATATAAGAAAAATTCTGAGTCATTGCCATGGCATTTGTGCTGTCATGGTGCTGCTGGGCATGTCTTATGCAAATGCATTATAATTCCAAGTCCTGGCTAGTTTTGGCCAGTTTCTTGTCTACATCTTGTTTTGATCTGCAGGGTTGTGAAAACAAGTCCTCACTGGGACTACCAATACAGTTGACTGGCTGGTCTCCCTACTTAGATTTGTTTCTCTGAAATTCATCCTCTACACCTCTCCCAGAGGGAACCAGCTAAAGCAAATATTTGATCATGCTCGTCTACCGTAAGACTTGATAGAAGGCCTCCTGTGGTCTGGAATCGACCTAGCTAGGTTCCCGGCTTCTCCTGAGACTTCAGGACTTACTTTATGCCTCAACAATATCACATTGCTTGAACTATACATTTTCTTCCTCCAACTATCTGTTTTACTTAAAAGGCTTACCCAGCGGAATTCAACATTACTCTCTCCACTTCTCTCCTTCCCTCCTCTGCCTCTAGCAAAACGCAGTGACTCAGCTCAAACGCAAGTCTTCTGGAACATTTCCCAGAGCCCCACTCTCTTTATAGCTGGGTTGGAATCTTTTGAGTTTCAATACCAACCGCCCACACTGCTCCATTCTATCATTACACTTAGCATATCTGTGCATATGTTTACCTGCTTTATCAGACTCTTCTGTTTTTGACGGTAGAAATCCTACCACTCATCTTTCAGTTTCCAGGGCCTAGCACAGTACTTGGTGCAAAGCAGCTGTTTAGTAATGATGAACTGAGAGTATACTTCTCCGAGAGAGATTAAGATCTTTTAACCCTGCGGGGGTTAAGCATGATATAACTAAAAACAAAAACCCAAACAGACTAGGCCTCTGGCAGGGAAAGCTGTGCTTTGGGTGTCCAGGAAAAGCAGTGACATGATTAGATATCTAGAAGAAGATCAAAGCTAAGAAAACAAGCAGATTAGCCGGACGGCACGGAGAGCCCTGACGCAGACTGTTGGAGTATGATTTAAGATGGAAAGGGCGGCCGGGCGCGGTGGCTCACGTCTGTAATCCCAGCACTTTGGGAGGCCGAGGCGGATGGATCACGAGGTCAAGAGATCGAGACCATCCTGGTCAACATGGTGAAACCCCGTCTCTACTAAAAATACAAAAATTCAGCTGGGCATGGTGGCATGTGCCTGTAATCCCAGCTACTCAGGAGGCTGAGGCAGGAGAATTGCCTGAACCCAGGAGGTGGAGGTTGCGGTAAGCCGAGATCGCGCCATTGCACTCCAGCCTGGGTAACAAGAGCAAAACTCCATCTCAAAAAAAAAAAAAAAAAAAGATGGAAAGGGCACGGCAGAATCTCAGAAGTGCCATGGGCAAGAGGTAGAGGCCAGACCATGCTGGTGGAGGCCTCCAGGACCCCAGTGGGGACAGTTCTGGTAGCAAAACTAAATTGGAGTGCCTGATTCATTACTTCTGTATCTACCCATCTTGAGAGATCTCAGAAACTGTCTGCAGCCTAAGAGGTCCCCAAAAGCTGAAAGCCTTGACTAAAAAATTTTTTTGGTATTTTAGACATGGGAATTTTACTTCCAGCAATCTGTCTTAACAGCATACCTGGGCTACTGTCCAAACATGTACACGAATGAATATTCTTCATTATCTATTTACAACAGCAAACAATTTAGAAATATGAGTCATTTACCTCATATTCTTTCTATATTTTAAATTTTGTAACAAACTGTGTCACTTCTATAAGAATAAACCAAGAATTAAAGAATAGAGCCAGAGAAGAAAGCAAATAGAAAATCACTTGGAAATGTTTTCTCAATAGCATTTCATTCATATTTTTATGATGAAATATTATTTGTTTTTGTTTTTTGAGACAAGGTCTCACTCCATTACCCAGGCTAGAGAGCAGTGGCACAGTCTTGGCTCACTGCACCCTCTACCTCCTGGGCTCAAGTGATCCTCCCCTCTCAGCTTCCCCAGCAGCTGGGACCACAGGCACACACCACCGCGCCTGGCTAATTACTTTAATTCTTGTAACCACAGCGTCTTGCTATGTTGCCTATGCTGATCTCCATTTCCCGGGCCCAGGCCATCCTGCCTCAGCCTCCCAAAGCACTGGGATTACAGGCGTGAGCCACTGTGCCTGGCTGAAATATTGTCTGTAAGAACTGAGTTAGGAATAATATTTTTGAAATGTCCTCAGTGTACTTGTCAGAAATCTAGCTTCCTTCCTTAGAAGCTTTCATTTATTACTGGCTTGTGGAAAGAGGAGTTTTATCACCTGGAGAGGGTAGTTCCTACCAAATAGATAGGGGTGCTGGTAGGAGCTTGGGGAGAGATTCAGAGGGGATAAGGCAAGGGCTTTCTTAAGACAGGCTCTCAGCTCTCTTCCCCATTGAAATCTCAGCTGCCAAACTGCAATGTCCCTCAACATGCACGCACCGTCACCGCCCAGCTTTGTATAACTAGTACTGAAAACTAAGTCTCGCACATGTTGAGTAGACAAAAATGCGTATCGTTAGACGCATGATCAGTCTTGTTTTCATACTTTTAGTTTGAAAGTTTCAATATAAGTTAAAAGTATTGATGAGAATATACTTACAATTGAACCAAAGGGTGAAACTTTTCTGTGAACTCAAGCCTCAGGGGGCAGCCATATTCTTTCCAATTATACCTTACTTTCTAGAAAAGGAAAAATACTTTAGTGATTTTACAGATTTGGTCCACTGACAAAATTTTATAGTTTCTTACCAAGTTTTTAGACAGTGGATGCCTCAGATATGACCTGTAAAAAAGATATTCATCATTATTTATTTCTCTTTCCTCTTTTCAAACTTAAAAACTAAACCCATGACTTTGTTTAGGTAAGGAGGTATCACAAAGGTCAAGTAGATAAATGTAAGATACTGAGCAATTACTATGTTTCAGGCACTTTCCACATGGATTTCCATACATATTAACACGTTCTTACAACAACTCAGGTGTGAATTACTGTCCTCTCTTTGTAGGTCTCATACTATTCGAAATTGTGTGAAACTCGCTCAAGGCTGCAAACCTTCCTTTGCCACTGAGAAGGACGGGTGATGATAAAGCCCATGTCCATTGTGCTATTCCAGTGCAGTTCCTTCCAGAATATTAGCAGATAAAAGAATAAGATACTGCAGAATCAGTAACACTAGATGTGTGTTTTAAAACTTGAGACATTTCCTCATTTAGATTTCTCGCTGTAGCGGAATGCTTCACGTTCATGAACTCAAGGACTTATTCCTTCAAAATCACCTCCCTCACATTCCGTCTTCTCAGTTCTGACACTTGAATCACTGTTACCAGCCACATGTTCCATATATTTTACCACACTCCAGGGGACGGACTCAGGAAACTCCCATCACAGTGGTACAGTCTATTTCATATTCTTGCCTTTCAGGCACAGTTGCCACCTAGACACTGAAAGGTGGTACCCTCACCAACTATTACACATTTTCTTCTCATCCTTGTGTTTCACTGACTGCTTTCACCAAGCACTGTAACCTGGAGCATCTAGGTTGTGGCACTCCTCCACCCTGCCTTCATTAACGAAATCACTTAAAGAATATGCCTACTGGTTAAACAGTCTTTCATTTATTTTAGTTAAATAGAATTTAATTTCAGAGGCTGTGGACTTCTATATTTTGACAGTCAAATAAATATTTAACATTTTAAAAGTGAAGATCTTTGTCTTACAAAGGTAAAAGTAGAATTGTGTTTAGTTATATCTTTAATACATCACATTAATAAAAATAAATATGCATACAATTAAATATAAATTAAATATAAAATCTAGAAAAAAGTTCAGTTAGTTGATGTCAGGACTTTCCGGGTAAATATATTACTTCTAACTGGCTGAACTACAGTCATGTAGAATTTGAGCCACCGTGCCTGGCTAATTTTTTGTATTTTTAGTAGAAATGGGGTTTTGCCATGTTGGCCAGGCTGGTCTTGAACTCTTGACCTCAGGTGATCCACTCGCCTTGGCCTCCCAAAGTGCTGAGATTACTGGCATGAGCCACTGCACCTGGCTTCAGTCATGTAGAATTTGAGAAAAATTATGTAGGGAAAGACATTCTTGTATGTCTTCCTTAAATTAGAGGGAACAATATGGGATTTGAGACTACGTATATATAAATGAGGCTTGCTTTGTTTATCCAATTAAATTGAAGGGGGAGACTGACTCTTTTTCTTATATGTTTCAGAGAAGTTAATTGGTACCATGTACACATTTTACTTAGTGCTAAAACTGACTGCCCACTGTCCAGCCAAATACACAGATGCTAATAGTAATCCACTGAATAACTACTGACTGTAAAGTATTGGTACTATGTTAATATAAAACTCAGTGCTTATGTTAAAAAATTTCTTACTTTTCAATCACGTAAGAAAAATCATGGCGAGGACATCCTTTTTTACTAAATCTACAAAAAACAAAACATAATGAAGTTGTAATATCATTATTTCTTATATATTTGCACAAACATTTAATCATTTAACTCAATGATTCTCAAACTGGAGAGTGTCACAGAATCATCATCCACAGACTTAGAATCTCTGGTTAGTGTGTGGCCTTAGTATTTCTGTTTTTAAAACATCAGTTTCGTAAATGTTTCAGGAGATACAAGAATTTGAAATCTACCTATTTATCTCTTATATTTGGTACATGCTTATTAAAAATTTATAGAAGATGTAGGGCTTGGGGAGAGGTTGCTCAAAAGATAGACAATTTGAATTAGTTAGGAGGAGTAAGTTCAAGAGACCTAATTGTACAACATAATGACTTTAGTTCATGATACATTGTATTCTTGAAAAATGCAAAGAGAATAAATATAAAGTGTTTTCTTGCCACCAAAATAATAACTATGTGAGGTAATGCATATGTTAATTAGCTAGATTCAGTCATTCCACAATGTATTTTTAAAACATCATGTTGTGCACGCTAAATACGTACAATTTTATCTGTCAATTCAGAACAAAAACCAAAAACCCTCCAAAACAGAAAGAAACAAGGGTTGACAAGGAAGCAGAGAAACTGGAATCCATATATGTTGCTAGAGATAATGTAAAACAGTGTAGCTGCTTTGGAAAACACTTTGGAGGTTCCTTAACAAGTTAAACATAGGATTACCATACAACCTAGCAATTCCACTCCTAGGTACATACCCACAGTAATTCAAAACCGTTGTTCAAACAAACACTTGTACACAAATATTCATAGCTTCCCTATTCACAAAAGCCAAAAGGTAGAAACATCTCAAATATCCCTGAACTGCTGGATAGATAAACAAAATGTGGTATATCCATTCAATGGAATATTACTCAGCCATAAAAGGGAGTGAGGGACTAATACATGCTACAACACAGTTGAATCTCAAAAACAGCCTAAGTAATGCAGTGGGACACAAAAGGTTACACATTGTATGATTCCATTTATGTGAACTATTCAGAGCAGGCAGATCCATGGAGATTATGATTTTGCGACAGCAGATTATGGGGCTGGGAGAAAGGGAGAATGGGAGATGACTGCTAATCGGGTACAGAGTTTCCTTTTGGGGTGACAAAAATATTGTGGAACTAGACAGTGGTGCTAACTGCACAACATTCTGAAGGTACTTAATTCCATTGAACTGGTAAATTTATATTCTGTGAATTTCATCACACTTTTTTAAAAGCAGCTATGTGTTACAGAACAGATTTTACATCTGATTTCTAAAAAATAAAAATAAAAATAAAAATTTTAAAAAAGCAGCTATGGTAAAACATGTACAGGCACACACAAATAAAAATAAAAACTCATAGAAAATCTATCAAAATGAAAGCAAATTTGTTTGGACTGTTTTATTAGACATAAACTTTTTTTTAAACCCAAGATTTCTAGTTGCTCCTTGAGACTGTGCAGGTAAGAAGTTACGTTAAGAGTTAACATAATTTCTGGTTAGGGTTCATGCAGACAGAAGAAGGCTATATGGTCTTTGAAATGACAGTAGTTTTTAGTTAGGTAAATTATTCATCTGACCATTTTAGCTGGCTGCTTCCAATGTAACTTAGAAAGAACTCTCGTCACTGCCGTTTTTAGATAGATATTGGAAGTCGAGACCATCCCTCATGCTGAACCCAAATTGAACCCCAAGAGTTGACAACTGTCCTTCACTGACAAGTCTCCTGGCTCTCCAGAAGTGTCTTGGACCCCATGCTCTTCCAGGTCTCCCTTGGTGACCGTAAAAACCATAGGCCCGCTGCAACCTGAGCCAAAGATACTAGAGTTTTAGGGTTCCAGAGAAGTGGGTCATTGACCAAGAGGCCCAGAGTAAAGTCCTAAAATCTGTGTTTTTAAAACATGTTCTCCAAGTGATTCTGATGAGTAACTAAGCTGGATAATTACTATTTGGACCCGTCTAGAAACAGACTGCTTCAAGCTACTCTCCATCTCACTTTGGAAGGAAATCAGGGGCCTGAGAAGGAATTCTGCATGCAGCAGTACTGGGAATTAATTTTGGTAATATGTTTATAGCAGTTAGTCTCAAATTTTAATGTCCCTCGTAATCTCCCGGAAATTTTGTTAAAATGCAGATTTTGATGCAGCAGCTGTGGGATGAGGCCTGAGAATCTGCATTTCCAGCAAGCTCTCAGGTGATGCCAGTGTTGGTCCATAGGCCGTAATCTAAGGAGCAAAGATGTAAGTCCTCCCTGAAACAGGAGGATACAGGCTGTATAAATCAGCTAGCCTTTGCGCATTTCCTGGGAAAGGAATTACAGGTGCGAAGATGTTAGGAAATGCGAATTTAGGAAATGCTGAATGAGATGCAAATACTTGATTATCAATCCAGCAACTGATTAATACAACTCAGTAATAATCACAAGATTATTAGAATGACAGAGGAGTGGACATTTGTTTTGGAAGACAGCAAGTAAGTAATTTCATAAATAGATAAGAGTGAATGTTCCCCTACTCTCCCTCCCACTTCCAACAAAAGGAAAGGAATCACAATAAATTTCTGTCTCTGTATACATTTAGCCTCAGCTAAACAGATTTCTGTATGCTGCCTTTGAATTTCTTCCACGTAGAAGAAAGAGAGCTATGGTGAATGGAAGACACAGAGTCCAATGTGCTTCATTGTGAATCATAGTAAAACCGACAGAATTCACACTTTAGGATTCTCTAGAGCAATCACTGTGGTTCTGCTAGGCTTGTTCTAAGAAATTTCCCATAGAAAATGGTGCAGAAAACTGAGGCTTCTCTGATATGGATGGATGCAGTTCTCTAATGGAAATGAAATTATAACTGGTTTGAGAAGGATGGAAAACAGGTGCTTCTCTGGGTTTTTCTGGGAATGAGTTGTCGACTGAAGGATTGAGAGAGGCAACAATAAAGGATAGAAACTGGCTTATTAAAAGGAAAGGTGAAAAAAATGCTGGTAATAGAGAAAGAGGCTAATTCTTTTTATTTTTAGTATGATTCAAATATAGTATTTGATTTGGCAAAAAGTTTAAACCAATTGAATCTAGACACGAACATCAATCCAGTTTTGGATTTCATTGTGGATGTGTCAATCATTACGCTTTTATCATTAGTAATTATCATTTAGTTCAACATTTGTTTTAAAACTGAAAGAGTAACACAGGTCAAATGGAAACATACTTACCCCTTAACTGCAATGAATTTTTTATTATCACAGCCAACAGCTATTTGGAACACCTAAAATGAAGTAACTTAGGTAGTGAGTTCAGCGGTTCTAATTCACATGATGCAAAATATTATGCCAGCTAAAACCAATTACATTTTTTATTTTAAAATAATAACTTTTAAAATGTAGGGTTCTCTTATATTACTGCTCTGCACTGTTTTCCTCCGCTTTCTTTGATCACTTTTTTTTCTTTGCTTCCTTTTGTCTTTACTGCTCAGGAGGCCCAAAGTTTGGGTCTCTCCTTTCTTATGCTTGTATCTTAGGGAATAATTGATCCACATTCATCTTTTTGGTCGTGGGGACAGAGTCTCGCTGTCACCCAGGCTGGAGTGCAGCGGTGCAATCTCAACTCACTGCAACCTCCGCCTCCCAAGTTCAAGCAATTTTCCTGCCTCAGCCTCCCAAGTAGCTGGGCTTACAGGCATGCACCACCACGCCCAGCTAATTTTGTATTTTTAGGAGAGACAGGGTTTCACCATGTTGGTCAGGCTGGTCTTGAATTCCTGACCTCATGTGATCCACCCGCCTCAGCCTCCCGAAGTGCTGGGATTACAGATTCCACCGTGCTGGGCCCAAACTCATCTTTTAACTGCTTCTCTACAACCATGACTGTCAACTTCCTTCTCCCAGTTTGTACCTCTGACTCGGCCAGCAGGTTTCTAGAATCCATCCAGCTACTAATTTCACTTTCTGTTTTCACGTTAGTAGATCTGCAGTTTCTCAGGGTACCGAGCATCACGTGAAATGCATCTTACTGTTGTTATTCCTGCTTTAGGCAGCAATACTCTGTCTTCAAAGGAGGACTGGCCACAGGATAATTATTAAATATTAAACCACTGTCCTCATTTTATGGATATTTATTCTAAACATTACTCATAATTGCTTTTTAAAAGAAATGCACATACGTGCTTTGTTTGAAAACAAATGACCTGTGGATACGAGAGCTTTGTTAACACAGCCCGTGCTCCTCTGTAAGTAAACTTTGGAGATACAGTGGAGAAAGGCAAGTGCAAAATCAAACAGTGGCATCATGTAGACAGGCTGCGTCATGATGCTTTGTTTCGTGGGCTGGAAATGCCCAAGAAGGGCATTTGATATGGAAAAGGCTAATTCTCAACCAAATAAAATCCCACTGGAATCTGATGCAGTAAGTATATTGCTTCTATCCCCAAATATACCCCTAGTGTTAGTAGCAATTTTTACCTTCTCTTTTTTAACAGATTCAATACTTTTACAGTAAGAACAGGGTAGAATGAATATTACACACAAAAATTAAAATAGAATTTCATAGAACGTTTCTAAGAAGATGGCTATGTCTGGTAGCTGGAATGCATTATATCTAAAGATGAGACTATTCGCTTCATTAAATCTCAGTTATTAGGAAAATGAACTGTTGCAAAATCTCTTACCCTGCTTGCAATGTGTAGGTATATGTTGCTTAAAAATAATATACAGGTTACATGAAACTAAAATACAGTTAATTACTATATAGACATTAAAGGAAGGCTTACAAAGATAGTGAGAGTCAAAAATAAAGTGGATGAATGCTTTAGATTTATTTATAAGAACTGTCAATTTTCCAGTCAGAGAGTCATTACTTCTTTGTAACCACAGTCCTGCTTCTCCCTCCAAATGGAATAGCTACTTCCACTTCTACCTGACCCAGAATGTAAGGGTCTAGACATTCTGCCTGAAGCATGTCCTTGGGTGTTGCACATTTCCACAAAGCAAATCTGAAAAAACCCTAATACTCCCTAGCCTATGAGAAGGACTTGGGGGTCAGGAGGGTGGGGAAGAAGAATGATGTCCAGCCAAGTCTGGTGGACATGAAGAGTTGACACTGCTAAACCAAGACCTTCTAGTCTTTACGTCAAAGGCATGCTCCACAGTGGGAGTTCATGGATTTTATCTTCTGGGCCACTTGGTTTCATGCACAGGGCCTGATTTGGTCTCTCGACAACTCTACCCACAGTCCTCAGCACCACCATCATTAAATCTTCGCTTTCCTGATCAGAATCATTGCTTTGCCCTTTATGCTTACTGAATTATCCATATAACGTAAGGGGTGACTGAAACGCTCAAACTGTCATGGTCAGGACCCACCATTACTTGATGATCTCATTTGCAATATTTCTTCTCTTTCTTGTCCTAGTTGACAAAAATCACCCCATGCCTCAGGACCAATAACCATGGCTAGGATTGAAAACATGAGTTAACCTGTAGGTGGATATTGAAAAGGAGTTACAGGTACAGTGTGGGGAGCACGAATGATCCTGTTTTCTAGAGTACCCACTGCTGCAGGGTTGACACATATTCCCCAGAACTGGACACCTAATTAGAGAGATTCTGACATAGAGCCTGAATGAACACATTTCTCCTCAGTGCAGCGTTGGAGCAGGACAGCTCCTGCCTTAACCAAGAGTTGGACACAGCATATTTCTTCTAACCAGACAGGTTAGCTGACCTGAGACAGGGATTCTAAAGGCCCTCAACACAAATGCTGTTAGATAATGCATTGGACAAAGTTGTAGTCATCCCTCCCTGGAAAAATTCATATTGGAGGGATTCACTAAGGCCCTCTGGGGGCTGCCCTACATTTCTGCATTTCCAGTTCTCGATGCATGGTTAAAGAGTGAGATGAAGTCTTGTTGGAGCTGCCAGTTCTATTTGCTGCTCTGCTGCAGGCTATGAAGACTAAATGACAAAGACAGTAGGCTCCTGTTCAAATACTGCAGTCCAGGTCCATTTGGTCCAGCAGGTTTAGCAAGGGCCTAACTTCATGCAGTGGGCTAAGTCTGTAGGCCGTGGTTCTGTGTATACACAGATCTGGTTCCTATTTCTCTGTAATATTTATCTGGGAGGCTGATGGCCTGCTAAGTCATGAGTATGGGAGCACAAGGAAGGGAGCTTGTGTTTGAAGGTATACTTCGTAGTTGCATACATGTTTTGATTTCCTTGGCTGATTAGAGGACCTGCCTCCACAAGGCCACATTTTCCTGTTGCCTGAAAGGGCTACTGCATCTTTCTTCATTCTATTTCAGTGGGTAGGTCAGGACAAAGTATCTGCAGTGGGCACAGGGGGTGGCTAGATTTGACCTGTCCATCTCTGCAGGGTACCAGAGAGGAAACAAAGGAAGATGCCAGTATATTAGATAATTGCTGTGTAATAGGCATTGTTTTGAGTACTTTATACGAAAATCTCATTTAATACTCTCAACAACCCCATAAAATAGATGGTACATCCCCCTTTTAGAGATGTGACAGCTGAGGCTCAGAGTAAGTAGCCCACCCAAGCCAGCAGGCAGTAGAGCATGGATCTGAACTCTGGTTAGATGAACCTGCTTTTGTAATGTCTTGGCTGGGCAAGATAGAATGAATAGGGATCCCTAACAAATCTACAGGTTAGAGAAGTGTGGAGGAAACCATGGTGTTTTGGGAGGGCATCCTAAAGGGAGAGGGTAAAAGCAGTTAAAGATAAAAAATGCAGACTAGGCTAGGGCAGGAACTTGCTAGGTTGTGGTTTTTTACTTCCCACGTGGGGTAAGCTGGCATGTGGTAGGCAGACAGGGGAGCTGTTGGTGTGCAACTGCAGGCCATTTCCTAGGGAAGCAGTGTGTGTCCGCAGTGCCCAAGGATGGAACATGTCTGCCTCAGTTCAAGGCTCCCTCTAAATGTATGGAACGCTGCCCTGGTAGGAACACAGGTTCCTCATGTCTGGGTTCTGACTGGGAGGGGCCAGGTCCTATTTGACTTTGTATTCCCCATATATAACACAATGCCTGATACTGGTATATAATAGGTGCTCAGTATATGTTTATTGAATGTTAGGCTAAGAAGTAATAAAGAGAGGAGACAAGTGTGAAACATAGACTCAGAAGAGGCGTTGTTAAGAATTTGGGTTTCATTTCACAATAATATAATGTAATATATATATAATAATAATAATAAGTTCAGTTACCCGAATACTCTGATCCTATTTCAATCTTCTCTGCCTTTTCCTGGAAATGTTTTGCATCTGCCTGCCGAATGTCTACTTATCCATCACTGGGCATTTTGTGTATCCCTTTCTTTCCACCTTTTCCCTCCCAACCACAGGAAACTTCCTTAGTTTGCTTTCTTCTGGGCTATTTGAGAACTGTGTATACCTCGTTCTCTTAAGCTAGTTTATATTTACCTCTAGGGAAGGTACTCTGTCTTTTTATCTTTGTAACTCCCATTACCCAGCACATAGGCTGAAACACGGAAACAGAGTAGGCATACAATACACTTTTTAAAATGAATAAATGATCTTTTTCATTAAAAAAATATGAATAAATGATTTTTGAAGAAATAGATGGCTGTGACCAGCAGTCTTCTTTGACAAACCATATCCAATGTTTGTCATTCCCGCTAATTTTCAGTTTTCCTTTACACAATTTTACATATCTTTATAACTTCAGAAACTAATACTTTTGCATTTTTGTATGTGTTTATATATCCCGCTTTAGGTGATAAACTCACAGAGGGCAGAAATCTTCTGTCTTCAAAATGAAATGATGCTATTTTTTTTTTTTTTGATGGAGTTTTGCTGTTGTTGCCCAGGCTGGGGTGCAATGGTGTGATCCTGACTCATTGCAACCTCTGCCTCCTGGGTTCAAGCCATTCTCCTGCCTCACCTCCGGAGTAGCTGGGATTACAGGCATATGCCACCACGCCTGGCTAATATTATATTTT